AACCTGACCCAAAACACTATGAAAGTGTAAAAATAGATTTTAATACCAGAAATACTTATAAAATATTAGCATCAGCAATAAATATTTGAAAAAAGAAAATATTACCAGAATTAAAAATCTCGTCAGCATTAAATAACCCATAGAGATTAATATGCCACAAAACAAAACAAACCAAACTATACATTTAAAAAAAAAAAAAAAAAATATTACCAGCTATACATTTTCGAAGAAAAAAAGAAAATTTTGTCGGCATTAAATAACACATTGAGGTTGATATGCCGTAAAACAAAATAAACCAAATCAATCTAAGCCAAAGAATACATATTCTATTCATACAAATCTATCCTAAAAATGATGTCGGCATTAAATAACCCATTGAGGTTGATATACCATAAAACAAAATAAACCAAACCAATCTAAACCAAAGAATAAATATTCTATTCATACGAATCTATCCTAAAAATGTTGTCGGCATTAAATAACTTATTGAGGTTGATATGCCGTAAAACAAAATAAACCAAACCAATCTAAACCAAAGAATAAATATTCTATTCATACGAATCTATCCTAAAAATGTTGTCGGCATTAAATAACTTATTGAGGTTGATATGCCGTAAAACAAAATAAACCAAACCAATCTAAACCAAAGAATACATATTCTTTTCATACGAATCTATCCTAAAAATGTTGTTGGCATTAAATAACCCACTGAGGTTGATATGCCGTAAAACAAAATAAACCAAACCAATCTAAACCAAAGAATACATATTCTATTCATATGAATCTATCCTAAAAAATGTTGTCGGCATTAAGTAGCCCATTGAGGTGTTGATATGCCCTAAAACAAAACAAACCAAACAAACCAAAGCCTCTTAAAATAAGTTTCAAAATGAGGTCTTCAAAAGTCATGATAGGCGTGTATATAATGAAAGACCACTCTTATTGATCATGAGAAATATGCGTTTTTTTTTTTTTTTTTTTTTTTTCCCCAGTGGATTTCTGTTTCAACTTTTGAATATTATCTACGTCTTTCGTCTTCCTACAAGATAGACGATGGTACCACACCAGCTGTCATCGACTGATTCCAAGCAATTATTACTTCACGAAGTCTTTTTACTTCAATTATTTTCTTCAGGTGAATTACCGACGATTTTGTTTTCATTTTTTCATCTCGCCTCACAGACGGGCGTCTTATTCGAAATGACGGACAGACTTTCTGTAAAATCGGAAAGACTTATACGGCATTACTAATAGCTCGACATTGTCGTCTGCTAGTCTCAACTTCTACAGATCAAATCAGTAATACGCTCCAAATTGATTCGAGAATCGATCGATGTTGATCGATTGGCGTGAACCGATTCGATGACCTAAGTCAAAAAAGAAAAAATGTCGAATCGAAATCAGAAGGAGGGAGTGTAAAATAAAGTTGAAAGATGTGACATTTTTTCTTCTGTGTTTTATACACGTTTCGATGGCGAATTAATGGCTGAGATAAACATACAAAAAGAATGGGGGGGGCTGAAAAGTTAGAAGCACATTTTCCCAAATCTCTTGAAATGGACACTTAAATTATATTATAATAGAATATATATATATATATATATATATATATATATATATATATATATTTTGGTTGAATTGATGTGAGTTTGTGACCCTGGGTTTCACGCTTTTGCGACCGTCAGACAAACTGACTAATTTTTAAAAAATTTGGGTTTATGTAGATTGCGTGTATTGGTGTTATTATGGGAGTGGGGGGGGAGGAAACGTCGTCGTGATGTCATCGTGCTAACGCAAACATCGATGCATGTCCGCACACACATGAGGTACAGACACATAACACCGTCGTCCATCACGACTCATACATATATAAATATATGTGGACAGTTTCGGATATGACATATGTATGTATATGGGTGGTATTGTGTCTATACATACGCATTTGTATGTTGAAATTCAAAGATTGGAAGTGTAGCGAAAATTTCTCGTGAATCTATACATGTCAACAATCTAATAAGTACCGAAAATATAATATATAAATAATTATATATATATATATATATTTATTTATATTTATACACACACACATACATATATATATATATATATATATATATATATATATATATATATATATATATATATATATATATATATATATATATATATATATATATATAAAGAATCATATATTTATACTGGAAAAAATTTCGGTCTAAAAAGCAAAATAATTATCAATATATAAAATTTATACTGTTTTTAAACAAAACTAATATTTCAGATTCTGATCTTAATTCGGACGTTTATGGGTCTAATAAAATTTATCTTCAAAACATATTCATAAAATTATAATATTTTTATTATCAATACAACATTTGAAAATATATATATATATATATATATATATATATATATATATATATATATATATATATAAGACAAAAACTTGAAAGTTTCAGAGCACTGATATATATATATATAACCATCAAGAAATTTTATATTATAGGCCATATAGCTTAAAATAAAAAAAAAACACACACATAAAACCCCTCTCATCAGAACTGTTATCTAAACACAAATTATGAAGACTTCTGTCATGGTTCAGTTTTATTTATAATTATAAAAATTATATCAACAAAGATGTTAGAAGATATTGAGTCGACTAAAATATAAAATTTCTTCCTTTTTGCCATAATACGTTTTCTGTACTGTTTCAAGCATATGAGAGTATATATATATTTATTTATATATATATATATATATATATATATATATATATTTATATATAAATATATATATATATATAAATATTAAGTATCAACACTTAGAGGCGAAAGAAAATAATTTTCGTGCAGTTTTATATTTAAACAAATCTGACTGATATTGAGAGCAGTCTTAAAATATATTATTGATTTATTTATATATATATATATATATATATATTTAATAAAGATTAATAATGAAAATAATTTTCAGCTTGATAATTTAAAAAAAAAGAAAAGGATCATTATAATTTAAAAAGAAAACAAGGATCATTCATCGAGTGATTGATTTGTTAATGATGATTAAAATTTTGTTTAAAATAGATTTCGCCATTTTATATTTTTATATCATTAACTTTTAATAACTTTTTTTGCATGAATGATTCGTTGTATTAATATATATATATATATATATATATATATAGATATGTAATTTTGTATAAATTTATATATCAACAAACGTTATTTAGAAAAAATATGATAAACTAGAAAGATTTTTTTGTGATTCATTTCATCCAATGGTAGATTTTATTTGTGACATCAAATTTCCCATCATTTCCCTCGAACGTCCATATCTGCTCGAAGCGTATCTTAACGTAAACAACTGACGTCACATATTAGTAAATGGAAAAACTCTGGCAATTATTTTAATATATTTTATTATTATACGTTATTCATATATAGACAAATATTTAAGTAAATGCTCTGTGTATAATAAACAGTATCAACAACATTTACCAGCCTGAATATTTAAATAGCTGGATCAAAGAACAATTTTTTAAGCCTGAATATTTATGAATAGATGGTATATAGAATAATAAATATATTCAAATAATATACAAAAAAAAGTAAAAAAAGAACAACATCTATTCTATACCTGAAGATGTCTGTTACAAATACAGACGAAAGCTTTTAAAAATAATAAGAACTTATGCAACAGAAATTTATTTTTTAAGTATCTTTTCATTCATAAACAGGTTCTTGTAGAAAATAAGAACTAATACAATAAAAAAATTTATATAAACATTTTCATTTTTTTCATAACGGATTCGGATTTTGTATATTATTTGAATTTTTTGCGACGATGGATTTCTCGCCAATTAAATCATTAACATTGCATTTGTTTTTTAATGAATAATTCATGAATTTATAAATTGATGCACGTTTATCGTAATTAAAATAACTCCTCCATATAATAAGTATATATACTGTAATATATATAAAATTTACCAGTAAAAATTCGTTTCATCACCATATTTGTATATAACGCACAATATATAATCAAACTATTGCTACTGCGCGCTCCATAACAATAACTCATTTTTAATATATTTTATACAACAATACATATATTTTTCGTTGTCCTCTTATTAAAGAAAAAAACAAGAACAACATCTATTCTATAATATAAAGATGTCTGTTTATACAGACGAAAGCTTGTAGTAAAAATAAGAAACTAATACGGCAGAAATTTATAGAAACAGGATCATTTCATTCATAACGGATTCGGAGGTTTTTGTATATTATTTGAATTGTTTGCGACCATGGATTTCTCGCCAATTAAATCATTAACCTTTGCAAGTTTTGTTAATAATTCATGAATTTGTAAATTGATTGCAGGTTTATCGTTTTATATTATATATATATATATATATATATATATAATTATTTATTCGATGGTTCATAAGTATGATAAAAAATCACTAAAAATAGCCATTTTGTTTCAAAAGCAAATGTCTTATTTGATGGTTCTTTTAAGAGACCAGACTTTGAAAAAATAAATGGCTATTTTGCTCTGTTCTGATTGTTAAGAATTTTTTTGGTTATTGGAATTTATTCCGTATACACCAATCCTATATTTGTATATATATTTATAAAACATACATACAACAAACTATTTCTTATTTTACCACTTAAAATATAATCCCTGAAAATGGCTAAATATATAGCCGAAAGCGCTCGGATATAAAGAACATTCGGACTGAGAGTAAAAACAAGAACAAAATCTATTCCATACCTGAGGATGCCTGTAGGAACAGACGAAAGCTTTTAAAAATAATAAGAACTTATGCAACAGAAATTTATAAAAACAAGTATCTTTTCATTCATAAACAGGTTCGGGGTTTTTGTATATTATTAGAATTGTTCGCGACGATGGATTTCTCGCCAGTTAAATCATTAACCTTTGTATTTGTTTTTTGTATGAATAATTCATGAATTTGTAAATTAATTTCACCTTTATTGAAATATATATATATATATATATATATATATATATAGGCTGAAATAGATAGATAGATAGATAGATAGATAGATAGATAGATAGTTATGAACAGACTGAGATTGAGATGGACAGATATTTTTTATTAGTTTGAAAGAAAGAACTAGATAAATAGCTGATGAAAAGATTAAGATAGATAGATAGATAGATAGATATCGGCAGATTACGAGAGAGATAGTGTTGTGGTAAACCCTCCTACAGTATAATGAACTCTTCCTCCTCTCATAAAGAGAGTCGGATAGGGGGAGAGTGTGAAGTGAAATGGGGGCATCTCGAGGTGGTGTAATGGTTAGCAAGCGTGTCTCGCTAGAACAATTACGACTGAGTAGAGAGTTCGTGCCTCACTAGACTTTCGGCCTTGTGCCACATCTAAGCTACGCTTGTAAAATCACTATCATGTAAATTACTTTAAGTAATTCATACTCTTATCATCTCTCAGTTGCGTCTCTGTCTTTGGACAGAGTGGGCTCAGGGGCTTCTCTGTCAAAGGACAGAGGGGCAACTGAGGAAAATTATACTGAAGAGGTGCCCAGCCCTCCATTGCACCTCCGCGCCCTCCCATTGCACAAGAGGGGGGGATCGGTGCTCGCACCGAGGCCAGCGCAACCGGCTGGGGCTGAGGGGAATTTTTGACCCTGCCCGGTTGCACGCGCTCGGGTCCCCACTTTTAAACGACCTTGTGTCACATCTCATTCTCGTGGGGGAATGAGTAAATACTGTGTGAAGTGAAATGGCGTAGTAGACGCAGATAGATAGATAGATAGATAGATAGATAGATAATCTACTTATTACTAACACTATTGTTTTGTATATATCTTCAATATACCTTTTCAAACTACCTTCGTCTTCCGTGTCTTTCTGGGCCCCTAAACAGGCCACAACAGATAGATAGATAGATAGATATCGACAGAATGAGATAGATAGATAGATAGATAGATAGATATCGACAGAATGAGATATATCGACAGAATGAATAGATAGATAGATAGATAGATAGATAGATAGATAGATATGAAAAAACTGAGATAGTAATAGTAATAAATACAAGAAGACAGAACGAATGAAAGCCAAATAAAATTGATAAAAAAAGGAAAAAAAAACTTTAGACATCGAAAAGAAAGAAAAAAACTCTATAGAAAGACATATTTGGTTTTTAGACAAGTCTTTTGAATTTTGGGAATCGCTATTAATGCTTCTTTCATCTCTAAAACAAGTCCATTTTAGTTTCGAAATATCTTTACATTATCAAATTGTTTCCGACTCTTTCTGCTGCCATATCCGCCACCCAAAGACTGAACCAAGCACTCGACTCTTTTTATTCTTCTGACAAAGGTGGCGTACTTGATCAATGTTCGATTTGACTCAGTTCGAACGAGAATTCACTTTCATTTGTCTATTGATTTCTAGAGAATGACGTCCCTGTCGAAATGATTACCCATAATGCAACGCATATGTATCTGGTCAGGAATTGGTGCTCTTTGACGTAGAAATTGTGTCTGCTTTTATCTTCAATTCGACACGGCTGAAATGGAGAAGGAAATCTATATCGTTAGATATCATATATATATATATATATATATATATATATATATATATATATATATATATATATATATATATATTACGTCAAGCGTATTTATCCATGTTTTGTCTGTCATGTTTATAGCTTTTAATGTCTCCCGTGTGAAGGAGTTATCATAGATAACTATGGTTACATTTCTTGAACAGAATGGTAATAATGTGCATTTTTAATTAATTTCCCGTATGTTTCCAATGTTATTAACAATTGTCCTTTGTGTGTAGTAGTAATCTGAATTTTTCTCGGACCTGAGGAGAAAATCTTCTTTCGGTTATATAGGAAATATATGAGAAATTTGTAGTTTAAAAGCAGTAATGTGACCGTGTTAACCAGCCGCTTCCTCTGTAGCTAAATAGTATAGCACGTCAGGCTGTATGACGGTTCTGTATAGTGTACAGGTCAGGTTCCTGTCGGAGGACACAAATTTTCTCTGAAATTTCTCGGACATTCAGGCCGTTAGATGTTCTTAATACTGTTTTTTTTTTTAAATAAACAGAGAATTACCTAAATATTTTATCTATCTATAATAGATATATATATATATATATATATATATATAACTGATCTAGGAGAAGGACAACTCTGAATTCAAAACCTGCGGAGGGTCGTTTGGGCACCTTGTGGCACGTAGTGCACCAGGTCTCTGTATTCGGCCCTTCAAAAAGGGTGGATGGTCCTGCACGAAACCTTCACCACTATAATCAAATCTCCTGTGTTGTTGTCGGGCTGTCGGTTTCCTAGGAACTGATCTGCTTGACCCTCATACGTCGAATTCAACGGGAGAGTCGAGTATATATATATTAATAAAAATAATTTCTGTGTACGAAGTAGATACTTCGTGTACATAATGGAATTTATTTTATTATTTTATTTAACAGGTTTCATTTTAATTAAAAAGTATTTAAAGAAATGAAATGTATCATTACAGAACACCCACAGGAAAACAATATTAGTTTTAAAAAAAAATATGTCAAAAGGTGTTCTTTTACAGATAGTTTTCATTTGAAATTTTTAAGGAGAGAGGACAATAAAAGAACAGGAATTAAAAAGACAGAATATAACGATTGACATTGCATTTAAATTTTTGAAGATCTAAGTTGACTGAGAAGCAAGAATGGGGAAGAAAGTTCTACAAGCGATAAATATGATAAAAGAAACTGTTAGCATAGAACTTGTGATTACATCTAGACATCTCAATTATGAAATGATGGGACCTAGCAGCCAATCTAGTACTGGGCTTAACTTCATGAACTCTGGGTACCATAGCGGAAAGTTTCTCCGACCAATTATCCTGAAAGTAATTATAGAAAAAGTACAACAAAACTTACTTTACACCGGTGGGAAAGGCACTGAAACCGAGGTGCCATGTCAAGATCAATAAAATTGCAGATTCTTTTTTTGATTTTAACAAAAGTCTCAAAATATATGGCAGGAGGACTAGATCAGATCTTATATTCATCACCTCAACTCCAAAGATTTGTTGTCGAATATGTTTGAACATATTTCAGTCCACTCTTCAGGAGGTTTCAGCTATTGAATACCGAATTTCTCATCCTTTCTTATCTTTATATTAAGTGTGATGTAAGTTTGATGCAATTTAATATAAATGTAATTTTTAGTGGGTACGCCTGTTTCTTTTATTTTCTTAAAAAGTGAAATTAATGGCAACCAGCCTAGCTTGAGTTATTTTACTAAAGAACAAATGTGCCTCCTCACAGGAATCCAACTTTTTTCTTCTTTTTTTCTACTAGACCAGTGTTGTTCAACCTTTTTAAGCAACCATACACGTAGGAGCAAATGAAAATATCACGGCACACTTAGGAACATTTTTAAAGGCTATACATTTAAATATTATGAAATAAAACCATAGATTTTTTTTCAAAAACACACACATGAAAAATATGAACTTATTTTTATTTCAATATTTCTGTTAAACTATTTGTGCTGCTTATTTAGTGTGAAAAACCTGGGACTAGTGTTTTTTCACGATTTCTTGGTTTGGTGCGATAAGCAGACCCCCATTTCTTCTTCAGTTGAGCGAAGTCTTTCTCGCTTCTTATTTTTGATGTTATTTAAGGTTGAGAAGCCAAATTCACATAAATAAGACACAGAATATTGCAATAAAACTGATAAAGCCTTTTTAGTTAATGTGGAATATTCCTTTTGTATTGAAATCCAAAATGTATCAATGGGTGATAAGCAGACCCTCATTTCTTCTTCAGTTCAGCGTAGTCTTTCTCGCTTCTTATTTTTGATGTTATTTAAGGTTGAGAAGCCTAATTCATATAAGTAGAAAATTGCAACTAAAGCCATTTTAGCTAATGTGGGATATGCCTTTTGTATTGAAATCCAAAATGTACCAATGGCTACCGTTGAATCTTTTATTTTGAACCCTCGATCACTAGAAGTGATGGCCAATTCTTAATCTTCTTCAAATAACTGACGTCCCATATTAGAAAGAACATTTATGAACTTATCTGAAAAAAAAATTTAATTCTTGTTTATTTATTCAAATAATAACGCTGACCCATTATTACTTGACACACACACACACACACACACACACACACACATATATATATATATATATATATATATATATATATATATATATATTTTTTTTTACATTTTACGTTTATACGTTCTTTTTTTATAGATACAAATATTTAAGTAAATGATCTGTTCCGAGAAATTGTCATAGAAAATATGCGTCCTTCGACAGGCCGGTAAATGTTGTTAATACTCTTTATTATGAACAAAGCATTTACTTAAATATTTGCATCTATAAAAAAGAATGTATAAACATAAAAATGTCTTAAAATAATTGTCGGACTTTGTCCATTTCATAATGTGTGACGTCATTTGTTTACATTTTGATACGCATCGAGCAGATATGAATGTACGAGAGAATATCATGGAAAATTGTAGTTTAAAAACAATAAAATGGACCTTGCTAATCGAAGCGCTCCTCTGTGGCCAAATCGGTAAAAGCACGTCAGGCTATATGACGGTTCCGTGTAGGATACAGGTTCGATTCCAGTCGCAGGATGCATATTTTCTATGGCAATTTCTCGGTCATTCAGGCCGGTAAATGTTGTTAATACTGTTTATTATAAAGCAGAGCATTTACTTAAATATTTTTATCGACAAAAAAAAATGTATAAACATAAAAATCTCTCAAAAAATAATTGTCGGTCTTTGTCCATTTCATAATATGTATGTATGTATATTCAAATAATAGGAAAGGACTGTCAGATTTATAATCCAGAGTTCTTTAGCAATTACTTTTATTAAATGAAAAAACAGTGCCCGATACAAAGTAGAGCATAATATTATAATTATTTTTTAAAAAATATGTCTCCATCGCGACATAGAAATTAATGTTTCGAAACCGCAACTTCAATCTTTTAAGATTTAACTTTAAAATTTAAACTTAAAATTCAGAGCTCGGTTCCATTCTCAAGCGATGCTAAGAATAACTTAGTAAAAATATTTTTTATTAAGTGGGTGTTGGCTTTTCTTTAAATGTAGAAAGCAAGTGTGTCTTTGTGTGGCAAATTCGTGTGGCCTAGCATATATGCAGATTCCTTAAGTTTACTAATTTTCCAATGATGTTCTCTGTCTATGATTTAAGCCTGATCCCACGGAGGTCAGTGATCTCCCTTTTCTCTCCATATGTGGTCAGCCACGCCTGATTTTTCCACTTCCCATCGTGTTACAGCTTTCTAGTGTTCTTTGCCTTAAGGGGGCGACCTGTCACTGCTTCATATTCCTTTCCGCAGCTGCAAAATAGGCCACAAAAATCTCCGGAGGCGACCAATGAATAAAATATGGGAACCAGTATTACCAGAGGAAGGTAATAATAAGGAATATGAGCTCTGGTAAAAAAAAAACATGCAATGATAACAGCAAAAATTGCAATATGAGCACTTGTAAAGAATGTGGCTGAAGACATTAAGTTTATATGATCCAGAAATTCATACACAGATGTCCTCAAGGACACATGGCACAGTAGTGACAGAACCCAAAGATTGTGAGTTCAATACCCGGTTAAGGCAGTGGAGAACCTGGAGAGGGGAATTGACAGGAGATAACTGATAACTGACACCCATTAGACATGGTACGTGGAACTAGAATAGTCTTACGTCAGCGAGCGAAATAAAGGGTTCAGTTAAAACATTCCAACCACCTGAAGAAGACCGGAGCGTACATCGGACGAAACGTTGTGATAATTATGACAACAAATTCAAATAATGTAAATAGCGTACATAATACCTCATCTCAAAGCGTACTACTAGATTGGCTGTTAGGTCTCATACTTTAACTGTTAAAATAGCTAGATGCAACCGTAGTTCAATAGTTCACGTTTTTCACACATCTCGACTGTTGAATGCTTTCTTCCTTCAAGAATTTATATGCAACATCTATCTTTCTGAAACCTTTCAATTTATGATTTGCATTTTGGGCTCACCATTTTACTATTAACCATGTGTTCCATCTTGCATTTGATTTTAATCCTTTCTTCTCGCTC